TGTCTGTTCATTTCCTTTGCCAATTTTTTAATAGGATTATTTGTCTTTTTGTTGTAGAGGTGTTGGATTTTCTTGTAGATTATGGAGATTAGACCTCTGTCTGACTTGTACTGTCCAAAAATTTTTTCCCAGTCTGTAGGTTCTCTGTGATATATATTTTTACAACAACAAAAAGAAAGAAAGCAGCTGATGAGGCTGCTTATGTACAGCCAAACACCTCACGGGATTTGGTTTCTTGGTCTGAAGGTTTAGGGTCATGGTTTCATGGGACATCCCAGTTAACTGGCCTAATTTGTGTTCAGTGCTCTGGTCTATCTCCTAGTTTACTGCATAGCAGCTGGGGTCTTAAAAGTTTGTAAGTGGCCTTCTAAGGCACAACAATTGGCCTCCATTGATCTGAAGCAACAGAGGAAGGAGAGTCAGGAAGAGGAGGAGGATATGGCATGTGTGGCTAATTGCCTCCATGAACAACTGCCTCCTTTGCCACGAGACTAGAAGAACTGGATGGTGCCTAGCTACCATTATTGAATGTTTTGATCAAAGATGCTATAGAAGAATCCTGATCAAAAAGGGGGAAATGTAGAACAGAATTTCAAATTCTCATAGAATCTAGGTTTTTTGGAGTTACTGAGGCTTAATGAACCCCCGAAACTATTGCCCTGAGATCATCTTTAAACCTTAAACCAAAAATATCCCCTAAAGTCTTCTTCAAACAACCATTTAGCTTACTTAGTAAAGAATGTCTGGCTTGAGCAATGTACTCTTTTAAAGAACTATCTATATGACTTGAGCATTGTGCTCTTTTAAAGAACTATCTATATGGGGTCAAACTGACAAGAGCAACTCAAAAGGTTAGATAGGAAGCTTAAGGAGCAGTGAGTTTATGTTGATGAGAGAGGAACAATTTGGAAAAAGAAGATGAGAATGGTTGCACAACTTGAAAAATGTAATCAATGTCACTGAATTTTACATGTAGAAATTGTTGAATTGGTGTATGTTTTGCTGTGTATATTTTCAACAATTAAAAAAAAAAA